GCAACCTCATTCTCACAGGCAGGGCCTCCCCTTACTTCCTTTCTGTCCTCACCTCTGTTGAACCCCCTGCTCTTTGCTCCGTTGCCACTCTTACTTCCCTTCTGCATAGGGTGGACCTTACAGGAGAACCCTCGGGTTTCTGAGACACTTGCCTTCTCACAGAGAAAACACACTTCCATACAGAGTGGAGGAAAGCTGCTTTTCCAGAGTGGACCTCCCCAGACCGCCGTCAGCAGGACCCATCGGCCAGGGTAGCTGTGACATCTGGGGAAATGTATCCAAAAAAGGATTTCTTCTGAGGTTTTGCTTCGTGAGAAATAAATACTGAGTGGCACCCTGTTATCCCTGGGAGGACCAGATTATTTTATTTCTTTGGTAAACAAATAAAGAGAGTAAGGGCATCAGAATCAAAAGTAGACATCTGGCCTGCTCCTAGCCTCCTCTCCTCAATGGATCATATCCACATTCTACCCTTCTTCTGCAAAAAAAAACTGTCCAGATTTTGCCCCGCACAACCATTCAGTACAACCTCTTGCAAAGAAGGCAGCATTCAGCCAACAGATCTTCCTCCCCGCCTCTACAAAGCACTACCACTGAGTCACAATTGGCTAGCGGCTGAGCACTGAGCAAGCTTCCCAACCTTGGATCCTCAGATGTCCTAGCTGAGCACTGAGCAAGCACAGCACCTCTGTTTAGAACAGTGCTTCCCAACCTTGGATCCTCAGATGTCCTTGGGCCACAACTCTCAGAAATCATGGCCAGCTCGGCTAGTGGTGAAGGTTTCTGGGAGTTTTATTGAAAAACCTCTAGGGACTGGTTTAGAAGGTGGATGGTATAAACTTACTAGAATGAAAGGCACCCAGAACAAGCTTGCAATGTAATTAATTGGGGAAAAAAGGGGCTAGAAAGAAACATAGGCAACATCAACGTTATTTGCTCAGATCCAGAGAAGTTGGGTGGGTGCTTAGGCATAACCATTTGCTGCATATCCTTTACTCAAGTTTGCAAGCCAATCCACAGAGAAGATACATGTGGATCTATGAGTTTGTTGCTGCACTGCTGGGCATCACTTTGAGCAGAAGGTTTTTCTGTGTCTAGTATAGCCCATCTGAAATGCAGCAAGATTTTTTTCAGCACAAGGATTATATTACCAAGATTTCGACAAATAAAAATGCATGTAAAATGCTTTACAGGAAAAACAAGTCTTCCAGGATAGTGACAAAGCAAGGGCAACAGGCATGGAAAGTAACAAAGGTAAAATGCAGGCAACTGATGCAGAACCTTGACACATTACTGATGCAAAGATGGAAATCTCTAGGAAACAAAACGAACCTTTTTGCAGCTGGATACTAACGTTTATTTTTGGATGAAAGGTATGTAAAATGAAAGGAGTATCTTACCAACAGTCTAAAATACATGAATTTTGATATGAATTTTAGACTCAAACTAAAAAGAAAAGTTTGTAATTTATGGGCAAGTATATGGGAGATGGCATTCACAATAACCCTACTAAGAAGACTACAGCTTTGAAAGGAGAAATTACTTTATGGAAAATGGGGCACCAGTTAGGACAGTCTTTGAAACTGCTAAACACAGCAGCATCTCAACACAAGACACTTAAAACCCCTTGACTCTTGTGCTCTCGCTATAGACAACGAGTCACTCACCATGGCTCACGGCCTCAGATATAACGATGCTTTCCTTTCCATACTGGAAGATACAGAAAACCAGTTCAGTGTATGTCCTAGTCAAACTAACCCCATAGGTGTGTCTGCAAACCTATGGACTTTGCATGTGAGTTCCACATGAGGAACAGTTCTCTCCTGGGCAATCTTCACCATGCTCCTGAAATAAAACCTTACACATCTCTACTTAGAAGCAACTCTTGTTAAAATCATTCTGAGTAAATGGACATCAAAATACACCCTTATTTACAACCGAGTCTCACAGGATGACAGTCTGAGTTTATCTGTATTCTCCTTTCCTATATCTGGGAATATCAAATGAACTGGGTGTAAAAGGTCTAATGGCAGCTTCATGCAGTCCCTGCTTGGCTGATCAAATTCTATCATAATAATAAACTATGATGTTTATTCACTACAGGTCCCAGTTTTAAAACTAGCAAGGATTAGAAGATCCTTGTGGGGAAGCCACCAATCACAATGGATGTAAGAGGAAGCACCAGTTAAGTGTGGCTCCCTGATTTGTGTTGCTGCTTGTGTTCAAGGAGAAGTAAAGCAGTGCCCCTGTGGGGCTCTTTATAGTTCCATGAAACTCATGGATACTCTGGCTTATTATAAGCTTTTCATAAGCCAAGATCTGATCATATGTATGTGGATGTCATGCTTAAATATGGTTTCTTCTCTTTAACCATGATTGTGATTTTACATCTAAATGCCTAAACTATGGCTAAGGGTTACCATAGCAGCAAACTAATCTGCAGAATTAATGGCCGGGTATGGGTTTGTACTTTGCAACCCATGATTCATGCTACATGTGGTTGAATTCTTTCTGCACCAAAACCAAAACTAAACAAAAAGCATGATAACAAACAGAACTTACTGGCACCTTATATATGCCTTCCAGTGGTATAACTTAGCTGAGGAAGGCAAGCTATTGTTCCCATGTATGTCTGGAACCTTAACCAGGAGTAAGGCAATATACCTTGGTTGATGCTAACCAGTGTTTTTGACGAAGACTAAAACTTTAAAAAACTTAGTAGGTATACAGACTTATCCCTTGGTGCACACAACCAAATTTGAGCAGTGTAGGGCAGGGAGAGAGAAGACTTGTATACAACTCTTATTTTCTATGCCATTAGAAAGCCTGCTGTTTGACCGGTGAGTTGCTCTACCCTTCTATCTCTATAGGACTTCTCGAACAGCCACTTTCAACGGAAAGTGGAACCCCATTTACTGACCATTTTTGTCCTAATTCTTCCCTCATGTACCTCCAACTGGGAACAACATCTCATGAATTCTGCTTGTGGAGGAAAGGAAGAAGAGGAGACGGTTAGCACCTATGCCCAGGTCAAGGCACTTCTGTTCAGCTCAGCACCCTTGGGGCAAGGGCGGGAAAGCCCATCAGGCTGATTCGTTCTGCCCGATGGACGTCCAACCATCATTCTGGCAATAGACTAATATTAAAACCACCAGCTTAGGCAAAAATCTCTCCGTACTGTTACCTGAAGTGTTAATTGTGGGGATCCTTATCTCTTAACATTCCTGTGCTATTGAGAACCAAGGTGCACCAAAAGCAGGAGTGCGGGAGAGACACAAACAAGCCAGTGACTGAAGCATGTTTGCAACTGAGCTTGGGGGGGGGGAGAGAGAGAGAGCGCACACCATAATTTAACCCTTATCGTTCCAAAACACCTCAAACATTCCAGTTAGGGATTATACCCATTCCTGTTCAGGCAGGAATTATAATATTTTAGAAGCCATTAAAAAAAGAAGAAGAAGGAAATACGAGCGGCTTGAGAAATGCACAACCCCCGTTATACAAGGATCTCTTCTTCAAATGCCATCTTACTATAAAATCCTAGCACATGGGCGGTGCATACACAGAAACACGCACACGCGCACACACTCCATCCCTGGTTCACACGACACCCGTATGGCCTCTGCAATTAGTCCTCCCTGATTGTCAGCTGCATAAGAGCTACTTCCTCATAGGTATGGATGGGCTGGGCATCAAGAAAAGATGGGGGACAAGATTTCTCATGATCACATCCAACAGGGCTGGGAAAGCAACATTTTAAAATCTGGTGAAAAGGTCAGCTTCATGCCAGGCAGACTGGGGTGATTTTTATGGTGGAATTGAGGATCAGACATTTAGCACCATCTGGTTGGGGGAAAGCAATGCTGGGGCAGGGATAGGGGAGAACAAGAGGAAACATGCAGAGGTTGTCTAAAGCACTTGGTACCTTCAGGAGGCTCTCCGGGGAAATGCACTGTAGGAGGGGGCCAGATTATTGCACATAGTGTCCTGCTATTGCGAATCTGGGGAGCCAGCAACCAAGGGCTGGGGGAGAGGAAGAGAGGGGAACGTGCATAGTCACTAGGATCTCCGTTTCAGTGGGGCTGGGGAGTTCAGCCATCCCCTGCAAGGTGCTAGAGGTGCCCTGGTTTGTTTGTATTTGTTTCTTAAAGCAACAGGAACAGACTGGCCCCCAGTCCCCACCAGCTGGAAGCATCAACACCTGTCCCCTCCCAACTGGTTTGTCAAGAGACTAGACGCACGGTGCACCTGGGTTTGACAGGCATGCAGGAACTGGAGGGAGCGTACGGCAGCACAGTCCAGACCGCAGGCGGCAGAAGGCACTGTGGGTGGGTGGGAGGGAGTGTACGTCCCAGGGGCAGGGGCAAGGGGTACGAAGTGCTGCTGCTGCTGCTGGCAACGTGTCCGTTCAGTGTCCAAGAGTCCAGAAGTGACGACACATCCCTGGCGGCAGATTCCTCAGTCAGTTTATTTGTTCCCCTGATCCAGGACAGGGCAGGGCAGGCGAGGGGAGGAAGATCCATGTGGAAGCAAGGAAGGGTCTGCACAGAAGCTCAAATCAGAGTCCAAAGCATCCAGCAAGATCCACCAGTCCCATGGGACACGGCAGAGGGCAGAAATCGAGGTCTCTAGCAAACTCTGTTTCTCTCTCTCTCTCTCAGCTGTGGCAAAGTTTATGCCAGGAAAAAAAATTCAGTTCACCAAAATGCCACCAGCTATAATGTCTTTCCATCACCTTTACACAAACCTCTCTTGCTGCCATCAAAAGTTCAACTTTTTTTAATGTTTCCATTTTTGTAGTTTTTTTTGTAGATTTCCTTTTTTTGTTTTTTGTAAATTTGTCTTTTTTAGAAAAAAAAAACCCACAGCCCTCTCGAAATAATAAAATAATCCTTTCAAAGCAAAATTCCCTCCCACCCACCCACCCCCGTAACCCCGAGGAAAA